TTCCCCTTTGTTCTTCATTGCCTTTTTTTTCTGAAAAACTTCATAATTCATGACACAAACCTTCTATATATATATATGCATATATAATCAAGAAAGGTACTAGTCCATTATCCTCTCTACTCTCTAGTCCCCTCATTATTTTTGTTGAAAATTGATGCAATAGCACAATCTTTGTATAATCTCAATATCTTACACTTAAAGTTTGCTAGTTGTCATGTTCTTCATGACCTGAGATCTAAAAATAAGTCCAAATTTCCGTTTCTCTTAGTTAGCTTGTATGCATCACTTCCGCTCTTTTGTTTCTTGTTTCTTCTTCAACTCATGTTCTACCTCTTGCTTCTCTTACCATTACCATGCTCGACACTTCTACTAGAGCAGTATTGTAGCACCCACTCTTACAACCTTACTCGATCCATACACGTTTTGTTTCGTTGTGTCCCTTGCTCTCCTTGATAACCTTCTGTATTTTGTCATTCCACTATTGCCTTTTGTTTGATGCCTAATTATTCCTTGGTTAGCACCCTTCAACGTATGTTTAGATCATCGTATCCCTATGGCCTTCTTAACTGTTTTTTCATTAGACATATTATTTAGGTTTCACATCTTAATATAGGGTTTTGAATCTCTCCAAATGATTTTATATTTTATGTACAACACTGACCCTTCTTACATTGAGAGGAAAATACATACTAGTAGAGTATTTGACCACTTCTAAAGGTTATGCATGTGAGGATAACATCTTCTAAGAAAGTTTTAAAACCATAATGTTATTTGTTGTTAAGAAATTGAAGTTATCTTACCCTTTAACCTTGTTACAATAGCCAAAACCTCCAATTTCTTCAAATCCTTTTCTATCTCTGCCTACATACAAGAACCCTTAATTTGCTCTCTTCATAACATACCAGGTGTTGATATGGCTAGCCACGAAGGAAATGATGACCACCCATGTACATAACAAATATTTTGCTAATATATACATTTAGATCAATACCCATGGTTCTGTTGCAACACACAACCATGCCTCACTGGTTTAATTAAATGTCCCAAAATGTGGCTCATTGACATTCATTATTTGTGCCTCTAATTTACTTTCTTTGGGTTTCATTCTCGTATAGAAGCTAGATAAAGCAAGATTCACAATATTGTAGCACACAGCATTAGGTGTGATTTATGTTCGGATATATTTACTCTGATAGACCTCTAGTGATCTGATCTTGTCTGCCCCAAGAAAACGTATAAAGTAAACACAGAAAATGTGAGGATGACTTACGAGCAAAGCTACTCGATCACATAGGTAGACAAACAACAGTTTTTTTGAAGTTGTGAATTCTATTTATTGATGTAAATTTACCATTAGGCATAACAGTCATCAAGTATACATAATGCAAATCAAAAAATCACATACAGACAATCAAAGGAACCATTGATGTTGAAAAGAATGTAACATACAAACAAAATAGAGTGCACGAAGAGGTGGAAATCTTATGCGACCTCATCCGGGCTACAAGGTGGGAAGATGGTTCTGTTCAAGTTAAATCTAAGGACGAACTGACTTTGAAGAGATGTTAGGATACAAACATGAAAGGGAAAATAAATAAATAAATAAAAGCAAAGACAAATGACTGTGATAACGAACATGTACTTAAATCCTTCTGTCTATTCCCCTCTATTATTCTGATTTAACTTTAAGCAATCTAAGAAAATCTACTATATATCTTTACCCCTAATACGTCTTTTGTAGAATGGTAAAATGTTTACTTTCTGCATCTTACTAATTTGAAAGCGTAAAAGAACATTACAAATACAGAATATACTCAATCTAGAAAGGGATATTGTCCATACAGTAGCGATACCTCCATAAGAAGTGGCATAACATACACTACAAAACTTGCAATATTATAGCATAAGAGTGGAGGATAAGGACTGATGGTCCTTGGCATGGTGTCATTGTATCCTCACAAACGTTAGGTCATAAGTTCAGTTTCAGATATATGACTATTTAATATATAACAAATCACATTGCTTTTCATATCACACTTTAGACTCACAATGTCCTTTGCTTTCATCTATTTTTTATTTGTCAATTGAAATCTTGTCGAGGCAGCTGGGAAAGCACAATTTGAACTTCAAGATGAGATTCAAAGCATTGCTTGCCTCAACTTGTATCATAGTTTTTCTCTAAAAGTTGACTCGACTTTAAACTTCGCTTCAAGTTAATATTATAGTTTGATAAAGTTGTTTGAGGCCTCAGATAAATTACAATTTAATAATGACACCAGGATTAATTTAATGACCAAGATCGATTAAAGAAAACTACGAGCATTGCAATTACATAATTAGCTTTTGCTTGAAATTTTATCAATAAAATTACATGCTACAGCGAAATAGAATGTCGTATGTCGTAGAAATTTGTATGAAGTGGAACAAAGAAAGCATGTTGCAGATAAACTGAACCATAATTCTTACTGATAGAATTCTTAGTTATGATTCTAAACGAATCTGGGTAGTATACAAGAATCTTATGAACTCCACCTCACCATTATCCTTGGTACTTTGATGTAATTTAGATTTTGGGTTTTAAAATCCAAATTTACAAATTGTAGCCATCTTTCTCCAACAATAGGAGCTTAATTTTTCTGGTAAACCAAGTTACAGAAACATCAGTGAAAAAGAAAGCACTCAAAAGACTGAGTTTTTTCTTATTTCTGTACACTTATAAGCATGAAAATTTTAGTATTTCCTCACACATATCAGCGACTTACATGTTTTCATGAACTGTAAGAATCCATATATTTGTTGTAGTGTTATCAAATTCTTTTTCACCATCATCCCTGCTAGTTTCTTCAACTAGAAGAGGAAAATTGATCTTCCACATCCTGTTCTTATATATGTAGCAGGAAATAATAATTGCATCAATAGTCTATGCGAGTGATATACTGGAAGCACTTGCAAATCAAATAACGTAGCCATACCGAAAGATCATACGCAAAAATAGTATCAAAACACTCAAATAAAGAGGGGGGGAGGCTAATAATATGTTAGGTAAGCTAGATAGGAACATAAGATTTACAACCCAGACATCCTGGCTAGAAAAAAAAAAAAGATATCTAGCTGTAACTTAACAAATTAAGTTGGAGATATAAGGTTAATCATTACAAGCATATAATAATATGCATATATGGTTCTACACTCATTTGAATAATCAAAGGTAGCTGATCCACTAGGGGCGTTAACTTCTAACTAGGGTAGGAAGACATTTCTTCATCTATGTTAGTCTTGCTGTTTAGATACACGTTTGGTTAAAACTATAATATCTTAAAGGACTGAAACAGTGGGTGTGTGGCATTTAACTTATAATAGTGGTGATCAGACAATCCGCCTGTAAATTAAGGGATTTTCCATCAAGATTGCAGGTCTTTACCTTAATACAAGTTACTGATCAATTTAACCATTCCTACAAGTTGGTTTCATCATTGACGAGATGAATAATTCATTTGGATCTCTCTTTTTGCTATCCTTCAACCCTTCTCCAATCATCCAGGTGTTCACTGCCTCCTCTCGTTGATTAGAAAAATATGTATCTTTAGGTCATGCTGATTTAATAAGTCCCATAAATCCCCATTTGGAGTTTTTGTAGTGTACTCAAAACCTAGATTGATCTGTTTGCATTATAACATTATAGGCTAAAAAACATTTCCTCACACGACTACAATTCTTAAACTTAATTTAGGAGTGATTCGAAAATCAAATACCTTAATTACTACATGCTAGGCAATACTAGATCTGTATCTTAGCATTTTTTAAGTAAATAATATTTATACATGGTAAAAGCAACAAATAAACTCACACACCCTCCTCACTTTTGGTGAGATTTGAACCCCTGGTTTCCTAGAAGGCCAAGGACTACGATACCGCTAGGACAAAGGCCCTTTGGTATTGGTATCTTAGTTTAGTGGCACTATATAAGACTGCCTTTGATTAACCTCAATACAGCATGCCCTAATTTATGATCAGTATTGTCATAATATTCTTTCAATCTGGACTAGGTGATAAACAATATGTTTAACTAGACATGGTGCACCAACAGATATTATTTGCCATAGAAATTATAGTCACGGTATTTTCCGAGGGAAAGAAAAACACGCACACAACACACACTAATATATGTTACTAGCTGGAATAGAACACTAGTTCTGTGAGTCGTGTGAACCTTTTTTTACACTAGATCTTGTAAAATTTATGGTAGAATACAAGATTATTTCTCTAACCAATGGGAACTGAGAAGATAAAATGGAAAGCGAAAAGCTAGATAGCTAGCCAGCCAAGTGTGAACAAAACCCTTAACTTTTTTTCAATAAGATGGTCTTAAGGATTTACTTACTGAAAGTTACACATTAAGCATATCAATAAAAGCATAGAACTAGGTAATCGTGTTGGAACTAATGATTCTTTTAAATGGACACATTGATAGCGCATCTAATAATGACCAAGTTTCAACTTGGGCCATCCAAGCTCTAAGTAATAATGTTTTAGTTAATAACTAAAGAATAATTCTTTTTAAAAGAACATCTATTGGATACTGCCATTAAAGAACAAGGTGCAAGAGTATTCCCTTTAATTAGATCCTGAGACTTAAAATATTAGAGAGAGAGAGAGAGAGAGGAAATGTTTATCCATTGAACATAGTGTCCAGATTGAACTTTAGATTAATTTATTTTTAGAAATAAAACAGTAATAAATACAAATCTAAATAGATCACATAAGATTTTCTTGGAGGAAAGATGACACGAGAGTAACTTAAATACTCAATCTAATGGAATAGGGAAAAGGGTAACTTGATTAAATAACCCTAAAACTAAAGGAAGAAGACTACTTAATTGACGCATGAACTTAGAATCTATTCAATCTTCTTGCATGAAGCTCGCTTCTGAGAATAAATGGTTGTTCCGATTTTCTTGAATGTCAGAAGTCTAATACAGTTCCATAAACAACAATGATAATGATAACACAGCTTCATAAACACAGCAAGCGTACAAACAACATGAAGATGAAGAGGATTCGATCTAAATTCACGTTTTAAGAACTAACAGTAAGTTAAGATGGATTCAAAAGAGAAGAAGAAATCCCCTTAGGTTGAAAAGAAAAAAAATAGAAAGGAGGAGAGGTTATTGTACAAGATGGAGAAGCATGATTAATGATCCATGGAATTTATCTGACCTTTTTCCTTGAAGAATAGAGTTCAACTTGGTCAAAAGTAGTCAGAACGGTGGCCGGCTCGCCATGTTGCCCGACCAACCACCACCGTCCACGGGTAACTGAACGTTAGGCATGTTTAGTGGCAAGTTAAAAAACGGTAAACCCATGGATGAGGGGTCAGGAAAGGGGTGATTCACGCCTCCATTCACGTCTCCGCCGCCTCCACTACTAGCAGCTGCCTCTTCTTCATCCAGAGGGAGCCTCTCATATGCCACGTTTGTGAAAGAAGCTGCTATGACAATCACCGGCCCAGAAGCTATTAGAGCTCCGACAACATTCCCGCCGACAACCTGTCCTTGCCCACCCGCCAAGTATATAGTTAAGCTGGTGGCACCCGGCGGCGCCGGAGGTGGCAAGAAGGACCCAGACAGAGAGAGTATCTCAAACCGGCCATGGAGTGTCAGTACAGATCCGGCCGCTGCAGGCTGCCGAAGACTCACGTTGTTGACTGTCCCGCTGCCGCTGACTATACAAATCCCACGTTGACGCTTCCTGGCGTAATTCGCGATGGACTCAAAGACATCACACCCGCTACTTATCTCAAGGATGTGAGCCCGTAGGGTGTTGGCGCTTTCCCTAGTTATTATGACGGGTGGTTTGGGCTTGTTCTTTGAACCAGGAGGGCGACCACGTGGTCGGCGGCCAACGACATCCCCGCTGCCGCTGCCGGAGCCAGGTGTGTGTTGGTTGTTGTCATCTTCGGAATCCGGAGGGATTTGGAGATGGAGGTCCGGGCGGTTTTGCAGGTTCTGAAGGGAGAAAGGGGAAGTGGAGCTCAAGTCTAAATTGTTTGACATATTATAGATATAGATCAGGAAGAGAAATCTAAAAGGGAGAGAAACAAGAAGAAAGAGATGAAGAATAATAAACTATGATGGTAATCGAGGAAATTTATGTTTAAAAATGAGAAAGATGAGGTATTTTATGATTTCTAGAGAGAGAGGGTGGACTGTGGAGGGTGGGGGTGGGGTGAGAGAACAAATAGAAATCTAAGGGGTAAGCAAATGAGTGGAGAAAAAGAAAGAAAAAGAGGTTTTATGGTACTTTTTTGTGTTGAACAGGGATGAAATAGTTTACACCTGACCTATCTTTTGTTTTTAGGGTTCAAACTATTTTCTGTAAAAAAAAAAAAAAAAAAATCCTTCAATTTTGGTATCATTTGACAAATAAAATTAATCTGTTTTTAAGAATCAAAATCCCAACGTTTAGGATATAATTAGGAGAGGCAAAAACTTAATAAATCAACTAAATATATAAATTTATACAACAAAAATATGTATGTAATTGTTGATAAATTGTTTTCTAAATATCCTTATAATATAACTAAGGGTTTATTGGTAGCGGCTTAACGAGTTTAAGATAACTAATAGTTTATTCGTGAGTTATACATCACTGTTTGATAGTGAGTAAACCTCTGAGGAAGCTCTATACAAAGAGTCAAGTTTTTTTTTCCAAATCTTTCCCTCCTAATTAAAATACACTCCTTCCGTCTATGAACAAATCTCTTAAACAAAAATCTTTCTAATTTATACAAACATATTAATCCACAAACAAGCCCCTGAGGTGAATAAACTTCATCTGTTAAAGAAATGCAATTTATCATCATGAAGGTCTTAACGAGTTCTAAAACCAAATCTACGGCAAGATTCACAAATAAACTCATGTTTGTTTTGTGAAAAAATGGTAATCGGAATTTGAATAAAATCGAACCCATATTTGATTGTGATGCAACAAAATCATGCAAATATATTCAAAAGTATGTGATACAAAACCTATATAAATCAAAAACTTTAAATTTAATTCAAAGAAACAAAATTGTTAAAATGTAAGAGATGCAGAAGAAAAAAACAAAGACTAAGGCGGCGTTTATCAAACGCTTCCTGGTAAGTGTTTATCAAGCCAAATTATCTTATCAGACATGACAAGGACCAAGAATCTTATCCGATAGGAACAATGACAATGACCAAGAGACTTACCCGGTAAGTAAGGATGACGACTCTTACCGGGTTACCGTTTATCGGGTAAACCGTTTTTGACAGACTAAAATCTATGATAATGTTAAATCTTACAATTAAGCGTTTAGTAAGCAAAGTATACGATAAACCGCCCCTAAATAATAGTCGTTTTAGCAAATAAAATATTATAATTTTCATATACATATTTATGTTTCCGACTGATAGCATCATATGCATTAACGTCTTCTGGATTGATGCATTTTTGGCTCCAACAATTGTAAATATATGTTTTGTTGTTTATACAAAAGCTATTGCGAAAATTATTTTAAATTGAAATAACCAAGGATTTGAGAAAGTAAACACATGTTCAATAAACTAATGCATCCAAATGACATCACAGAGCCACTAACTTTTATATATATAAATTAATTACGAAATTTACTTAAAACATTAGTTGATAAATTATCATTTTATTAAAAACTTTGTTGATAATTAATGAAGTAATTGTTAGCTAATAAGTTACTTACTAGATAAAATAGTCATGTTTGACAAAAATTAATATAAGAGGCATAATTAAAAAGGGTAGGGAAACTTTTCTAAAGCTTTTTAAAACGTTACTGAAAAACTTGCTTATGACGAAATAAACAGAGCTTTTTCAATAAGCTCAAAAACTAAATAAATTTATGGTCGTCATGCATGAAATTAGTGTTAGGACTCATTTGGACCCTTTTTTTAGTAATATATGGTCTAATTATAATGGAGTCGTAATTCGTTGTTAAATATTTTTTGATTGTACGTAAAACCCATTTTAGGGCCTCGTTGAATCCACGACACTTAGGTTTAAGGTCTGATTGCATCTTTAAATCGACGATAAACAAATGATTCTTGCACTTATATGGCCAACACAATTTGAATTCCTGAATTAATATATTCTAATTTATTTCATGAATAAGAAATGTAAAAGGTTGTGTCCTTAGTTACCCATTGTGTATACATTTCCGTATTCTTGTACTAGCTATTTTCTAATGGAGATGGCCCCATCCCCTCTCCCTTTGTTTTGTGTTGATTTTAGGGGTAGGTGATATTGGGGGACTCGATAACACGTTATATTAAGGATATGTTAAATGGTTTCGTCATAAAAGAAAAAAGGTTGTTTATCTATCCATGTATACTATGCTTATTGAAACAATAATATTATGATTAAAAACTTGTACTCATATGTTCTTCTTTTTTTTCGAAACAACAACCGGAATCATTACAACAAAATCGGGTTTATAGGACACTCTCAAATTTTAAGTGTCCTAATAGACCTCTTTATAGGACTTAGTTTATAGGACCAGAAAATAAAGTGTCATATCTAAAGGTGTTGTAATAAGTTTATATGATATTTTTTGACGTCGTAATAAGTTTTTTAGGACACTTTTAATATAAAGTGTCCCATTATCAACTCTTTTTTTTTTGTAAGGGTGTCCGGGCCAAAGCCCGACTAATCCCCGGCAAATTTGGAGGCTAAACATGGCCTCATTTAAATGTCGCCAACACTCCCCTCCCAGGGCTCGAACTCGAGTTCATGACTATGTCATGCTCAAGCCTTTACCACTAGGCTGGAAGGTCTTTGACATCCCATTATCAACTTTATATGACATTATTTGAAAATTTGTACTATAAAAACAAGTGTCCTATAAAAAAATGAGTTTAGAGGACACTTTCTCAAAAGTGTCTTATAAAGTTGCTAATGAGACACTTTGTATTAAAAATGTTGGGAAAAGTATAATAAAAACCAATGAACTTTCTTGTTTGGAATGATTAAGTCCTTGAACTTTTTTTTGGAACAAATAAGTCCTTGAACTTTCCAAAACATGTTAAATAAGTCCCTGGACAATTTTTTGGCACAAATAAGTCCTTGGACATTCCAAAAAGTTATTTAACATGTTTACCACTTTATTTTTTTCAAAAAGTTATTTACCATGTTTTGGATTGTTCAAGGACTTATTTGTTCCAAAAATTGTCCAAGGACTTATTTAACATTTTTTGAAATGTCCAAGGACTTATTTGTTCCAAAAATTGTCCAAGGACTTATTTAACATATTTTGGAATGTTCAAGGATTTATTTAACATGTTTTGGAAAGTTCAAGGACTTATTTGTTCCAAAAAAAAGTTCAAGGACTTAATCATTCCAAACAATAAAGTTCATTGGTTTTTATTGTACTTTTCCCAAAAATGTTCTAAAAAACTTGTTAAGTCGCCCAAAAGCGTCATATAAACTTATTACAACACCTTTAAATTTGACACTTTATTTTTTTGGTCCTATAAACTAAGTTCTATAAAAAGGTTTATTAGGACACTTAAAATTTGAGAGTGTCCTATAAACCCTATTTTGTTGTAGTGAATTTTATGTGTTATATATAGAATTTGGTGTTTTTATTTAAAAGATGATTACTATGGTTTTTAATATTCCAATTGTAATATTGTTAAGCTCCAAGTTTTGACAATCAAAATATGCAATTTACCACTTGTCTTAAATTATAGGAACATTTAAGTCTGATCAGATTTAGGTTCAATCCACTCATTATCGTCTAATTATTTCTAAAATATAACAAGCTAACATCTAGTTAACAGTGATCCACAAAACATGTCCAAATTCCCATCTCAAAAAAGGTGGATTGAGATTACAACTTTCTACACTTCTTCCATAGTGTTTTCTATGTTTTTCCCCACCACTTTTTGTTTCTTTCTCTGCTCTTTTTTCAATTTCACAAGAAACGATATAGTCAATTGCAATTCATGGGTAAGTGTTATTTTTCTTTAAAGATACATAATTATATATCAAACAATTAACTTTTTTCGGTCTATCTATTCATGCATACTTGCCAATTTATGAGGTAATACATAAAAATGTAAATTTAAAACTCGGCCGATATCTCATCCAAAATGTTTAAACAAGTATAATCATGACATTTTTTGGCATATGTGGTCACCCCTCAACATTTTTTACAATGATACCAATTCTGACTTGGGATGAATAGGTTGATGGGTCATGTTCTTAGACAAACATAAAAAGGCTGAAAATATTATTAGGCACAATATATACATTCATACACGCACATATATATATATAGAGAGAGAGAGAGGTTCGGTAAAACTTTAAAAAATATGAAAAACTGAGCAACATTCTTATGATCATTCATCTGAAAACGTATGCGTATAAGCATAATGAGCTGTTTCTTGGTTTTTATGCAGGTATGCGTGTTATGCATATGTGCATACCAGACAAATTGCTTAAAGTTATCAGTACGTACATATACATACCGTCCAAATGAACAGTTAGCAAAATGTTTCTCAGTTTTTTTTTTGCGTTTTTTCCTGAACCTGACCTTGTGTTTGTGTGTGTATGTGTGTGTGTGTGTGTATATATATATATATATACACACACACATAATACATAGGGCTAGGTTCAGGGCTACACCAAAAAAAAATTGAAAAATTGAGAAACACGCTGGTAATTGTTTGTCTGGACGGTATGCACATGTGTATAACATGCACACACGCATAAAAACCATGAAACAACTTCAATTACTTGTATATACATGTGTTACCAGAATGTTACTAAGTTTTTCATTTTTAGGGGTCTTCTCTTGAATCATTTTGAATTGGATTAATCCTTCAAAATTTAATTATATTTTATAGAATTTTTTTTTGTTTTTTAATTTAATAAATTCATAATTACTTTATCAAGTTTATATAATTTTTTTTCTATATATACTTTGATCACAATTTCCATCAAATATCACATTGATATTCACAATCAATTCATCTTTTTCACCACTTTTCTTTAGTTTTTG